TCCCTGATGCAGATAGTCACTTCAGTCACTTCTTCTCCAGGAATGTTGCTACTCATCCAATTGCATCTCCAGATCTTCTGACATTTTAAGGTTTACAAGGTCATAGCCTAGTGTCTTTGTATACTTAGTTGGCTTTTTTTTTCCAGTAGATTTTCTGTTTGTCTTCATTATGTCTCTCTCTACTTCTAGCTAGAAGCATCATTTCCTGTTAGTTCATCCTCTTCAGTACCATAGTTTATGGAGAGAGTGAAGGAAACAGAAGGAAGCAAATTCTCTTTCCTTAAAAAGTGATTCTCATCTAAGGACATATAACCTTCAGCTCCTAATTTAGAGTCTTTTTCCACTTAACTGCCTCCAAACTAACTTGCCATTTTTAGATATAACCCAAGAGGTGTTGTTTGGTCTTCATTCACCAGTCACAAGGCATTTCCTAGGTGGTATCATCTATCTTTATATAATGACCTCAAGCCATTATGATAACTTCAAATTGACCAATGCATTATTTCTTTTGTTAAATGATTGATTTGATCAAGATGCTTTGGTCTTCTATGATTCATAGGGATTGACCTCACATGTGTAGTATGTTGAACATTCAAAGCAACAATTATGATCACATCACATTTTAGTAAAGATATTATTGATAAGCTGGAGTGTATCTAGTAGAGAGTTACTAGAATGTGATGGGTCTCAATTTTATGCTGTACAGGGATCCTATAAGGATAATCATGGACATTCTTTTATATTTCTAAGATTTCCAAAGTATATTGTGCCCAACAACCTTAGGAGCAAGTATTGCTCCTGTTTCATAGATGAGGAAGCTGAGTCATAAAGAGTTTAAATGACATTCCAATGCTCACTTGGCTATGAAGAGCCAGGAAATATCAGAGCTAGGACACAAACCCAGCTCTTCTGACAAGATCTAGGTTCTAATGACTGGTATTAACCTTTCTGTCCAAGTGAAATTTTCTGCTTTGTGGAAAGCACAATTCTGGCTGGGCATATTTTTGGTTCAGGTGCCTATTTCTTTAGAATGTAAAATATTCCCTGCTATAGAAGATCAGCTGTCACAACCAGCCTTGCCTCTATTCCCAAAGGATGACAAGTATTTCATTACAGCTAGAGTTGTGGCAAACTCTAACGCAGACAATTTCTGCAGAAATGTCCCATGAAAAATACATACTAATTTTGATTAAATACCCAAGGGCTCCATTGGAGTTATAGAAAATGAGTTAGTACTGGATACATAATCATCATCTCTCTCAGAGAGAGAGAGAGAGAGAGAGAGAGAGAGAGAGAGAGAGAGAGAGAGAGAGAGAGAAGTTCATGCCAATCTGCCAGGGCTTTTTGATATTCCAAAATGAAATTTGTTTCCAGATTTGTACATAGTACTTCAAGAGAGTATTTTTTTTGAAAATGTACAAATTGATATTAAACAGCTACAAACAGTGTGTAGAAATGGTCCTGGAACAAGATTGATAGATCCTCAATTTCCTGAAAAAGAGAAACTGAGAGCCAGGTCTTGGATTCAGAAAGTTGTGTGTTCATATTCTGCTTCTGCCAAACACTTGTTTTGTGACCATGGACAAATCACTTAATCTCTCTATACCTTCAGGTTTCTAAGACTAAGCTGCAGACAAGCCACAGATCTGTATTAGAGTTTCTGTAGCAGGGATGTGGTTCTACATTGCAATGAAATCACAGATTTGGATGGGGGAAAAAAAAAGAAAAGAAAGGAGGGTATGAGGGAGAGAGGGAGGAGAAAGGAGGACAAGTAGGGAGGAAAAGCAAGAGAAAGACCAGAAGAAGAGAAAGACAGAAATCCAGAAAGCCTAATCATGGGTAGAACTAAGAATGAAGGCAAGAAAAATGAATTGTTAGACTTGGGGTCAGGTAATTTTGAGCTCAAAGCTACTCTAAATTTAATGGAAATAACAAGGGATATGTAACCTGGAGAATAGAAGACTGGGGTGGGGGTGGGGGCAATAAGAACTATCTTCCAGTATCTGAAGGGCTATCATATGAAAATGAGATTGGTTTTGATGACTAAGAATAGTGGTGTGGTGGTCCAGGATGCCATGGTGCAGACCCAGAACATTTTGTTGTTGTTCTTCCTTTGTTCTAGAAGAGGAACACTGACAACATGAAGGTGATGTCTTGACTTGATCTTGAATTGGATTTAAGTGAGGCAGAGCTGCTCAAGGTCATCAGCTTCACTCTCTCCTCCAGAGTCATCAAAGTCCAGTGGCAAGACAAAAGTCAAGATGACTGGCGATGGCCCCAGATGTATAGGGTGACCTTGGCCTTTCTAAATTAAGATCTTAGAGGTTCTTGACTATGCCTAGAACATTATGAATTAACTCTTCATGTCCCCTTCCCTCTCCCAGTTCCCTTTCCAAGGCCTGCCTTCACCAGAATATTGTGAAATAAACCAAGGCAATTTAGATAAAGGCCACTCAATGTATTATGTAGGAGGCTTCTGAGACCCTAAGGAACTTCCTCTCAGGCTGCTTTTACCTGCTGGTTTTACTGAATTTGTTGTTATAGAAGATGGAGTGAAGCTGTGCTCATTTGTACCTATGTTTAGAAAAGTGTTTATCTGAAATCTCAGGGCCTGGGTGATTCACTGAATTAGATGTTGTATATCCAGGGGCAGATGGGTAGAGGTTGTAGAGAAGGAGATTTCAGTTAGATATTAGGGAAGAGGAGGCAGAACTTCACTAATGAGCTTTCCAAAAGTAGTTGGCCTGGAAAGAGAGTAAATTTCCTTTACTGAAGGATTTCAGTTAGCGGTTTGTGTGATCACTCACTGAGAATACCGTAGACAGAATACTAATTTAAAGTGCAGGTTGTACAAGACTGTGTTTGAGGTCCTTTCCAGCTCTGAGATTCTTTGATTGTGTGATGTAAGAATTCATTAATGAGCCAGAAAAGATAGAAATCCTTAAATTATTGTTCAGTGGTTAATAATTAATTAATTAACTAATGGTGATTAGTGGGCCATTCTGTTTTATCAGCAAGTACTCAGTGAGTACCTACTAAATACCAAGTACTCCATCCTTACTGTTTGTGAAAGTTGTGTCCTCCTTGTCCCCACTCCCCTCCCCAATTACATTTGGATTCTAAGTTTTGAAGAATGATATGGAGGGTGGTAATTCCAAGACAATAAATGTATGTGAGAATCTATGATCTGATTTTGAGTTTCTCTAAGCCACTAAATGGTGCCTTTGCTAGAAATATGCACGCCAATGACTGAGAAAAGAGTAATTAATACACCTTTCACAAACCTGGAAGCTGGAAAATAAACAACGAACAGCTCTGGAGAACACAAAACATTAACACATCACCTTCGTTTATTCCTGCTCAGTGTTCAGGCACTGTCTCATTTCTCCTGGTAAACATGTGTTTTCTAGCTTGCTGTCTTAAAAGTTAGAGATTGAATAAATATTCTTTGAGATAAACTTAGTGATCCAGGCCTAAAATAGTAGACATGCAGAATAAGGTATGACAGAAGAAATATGACTTTTATAGAGACACTAAACATGCGCAAATGTTTTCATAGGATCCTTGGAGCTATTTGTAGGCCTTTGATTTCTATGACTAGTTCATTTAAGATGAATTTTACATGATTAAAAACAATATAGATGAAAATGAACCTGTGTCCACTGCTCAGTTCGGTGCAGAAAATGACTATATAGTTATAGGCACAATTTGTGATATTTAGTATAGAACCTGTGGGCTTAATTACCTACACTTTGCTTTATTCCATACACAGGCTCCTAATTAGAAAAACACATACTCATTTGTATGCATATATGGGCATACACACACACACCACACACACACACACACCCTATCCCTGCACCCAACCCTCTCGTGCCATGTTCACTTGTGTCTGAGTTTTTACCAGAGCTATAATTAGATAAGTACCACCCTATGGAAGTACTGTAATTGGTCCTGGGGTAAGTAGGAGGAAGCAAACTTTCAAGTGAGACAAAGGACAGGTACAGTGGGCATTAAGACTGAGAGAGAGACATGGATGATGATGGATCTGGGGGTCACTGCTGGAGAGGCTACAGTTTAAGTGGATGAAGGTGGTTGGGTTAAGGGAGGCACTTAGCCCAGCCCTCTAGGTAGACACCTGGTAGTTTCCAATTTTAACCAATTATTCTTCATTTATTCTTGGTAGCTGTAGTTTTAAAGCTTCAGCAGGAGTGTGTTCAGTGCTCTCTAAATTCAGCACCCTGAGACAAAGCTCTAAGTGTGTATGTATATTTGTGTATACACTTATATGTAAACATACCCTTAAATACACATATATGTGGGCGCCTGCATGTGTAGATACACAAACACATACATGTGTATATATACTTACATGTATATACAATAGAAATATACATATATTTGGGTGCCTGTATGTGAATATATTTGCATATATACATGCATGTGTATATACTTATATGTATATATATATATATATATATATACATGCATACTGATATACGCACATATATTTGGGTGTCTGTAGATAGATAAACATACATGTGTATATGTAGATATATATGTGTGTGTGTGTGTATGTATACACACACACACACACTCAATAAATAGTGGTTGATATAAACTGTTCTCTATGCTTAAATTGTCCTCCCTCCATTTCACCCATTGAAATCTTACCTGTCTTTTATATTCCAACTCAGATGCCATCTCATTTGTGAAATTTTCCCTGAGCCAAACCAGTAACCTTATTTTTCGGATTTTATATTTGCATCTCTCTGATGCATCACTATATAAAATTGCCTATTATATGTGTTTCCTCCCAAAACGATAAGTTTCTTGAGGATAGGTACCATGTTTTATCTAACTTTGTATTTCTAGGCACTAAGATTACATAAAGTAGGTAGTTAACAAATGTCAATTGGATGAATTTTCTAGATATTTCAGGTGACCAAAAACCACTTGCTGTTATGAGAACAAGGGAAGGAAAGAAAACGAAGGCTAACCTGAAATGCACAAGGGGTGTTGTCCACACAATAGACTCTCAAGTTGTAATCCAAGGAGTTGCATGACATGCAGCCAAAGACAGCCACTTTGAGTTGCTTCACAGCACAGTCAGTGATGGGTTCTCCAGCCAGTGCATATGTCCCAAAGCTGTCCAGGAGGACGTGACATGCAAATGGATCCAAGAGGCAATAGCAGGAAGTCGATTCATCCTCCACTGACATCACCTCCTGTTAGGAAAACAAACACCGCGCACACACACACACACACACACACACACACACACACACACACAGACTCTTTCAACTTTAAATTAGCTGCTATTTAAGATTCACTCTACAAGTCCACATTTTTCCCCCAGAATATTTTAAATGTTCTAATTGGTTTGATACTTAATACAAATATTTCATCAATCATGATAAATACTTTAATCAGCAGCTGCAGTTATGGTTATGTATGGTAGAATGAATTTCTACTTAATAAGTAATAATAACAAAGTATAAGTAATTTCCTTGTTATTTTTAATGTCCTAGTATTCCTAGTTATTTTCTTTTTCAATGTCAAGTTAAGAAATTGTCTTGAACATGGAAGTCAATAAGGGAAAATCTTTACATTGGTCTGCTTCTGACCACTTTTTTTTTTTTTGGTATCCATCAAGGTAATTCACATTTTCGTCATTGGTTGTTTTTGCCCTTCAGCATAACAGAACCATTCATGAGGCCCCATTAAATACACAGCTTGAGTAGCTTCTCTTGCTATATTTCACCACTTAGCTCTTAGCTATTTGTAGTTTGCTAGCACTGGAAAAACAGAAACCCAATGCCATCTACCTTAACAACAAAAACTTCAGAGGCAAAAAAATAAACGAAAGAGAAAAAAGCCAGTGAAACAGCACAAGGAAAGGGAAACTATATTGGTAAAAAGTAGAGAAAACATTTTTTTTAATGCCAAATAAATTAACACTTAAAATTTGGAGCTTAAGGGAGACTATGATTATGTAATGTGTTCTGGCCCCTTATTTAACAGATGAGGAAACTGAGTCTCAAAATGTTAAAGTGAGTTGTCCAAGGTCACATAGGTAATAAAAATAGGGCTAGGATTTAAGATGATTATAAGATGTAGATCTAGAAAGTACCTTGGAGATTATCGAACTTGTCCACCACATTTTATGGAGGAGGTAACATATGCAAGGTTACACAGGTAGGAAGTAACTGAGCTACAATTTTAAACTGGGTCCTCTGTCTTCAGATCCAATGCCCATGTGCTACAATGGTCCTCAAAATAGGATTCTCTCTGATATATAATACTACGTATTCTGTTAATGAAATTCATAGAACTCACTATCCCAAGGAAATTTCTTCCAGACATAATGGCAATGAGGGAATGGAAGTTGGATGTATGTATGAATTCAGGAAGCAAAATCCTGACTCAGGAGATAGCTAGAATGCTAGGGATGTTCTGCTTCACCTGAAGATGTGAACATGCTTTTTCTTTTTTTTTTTTTCTTAAGAGAGAATCTTTTCATCCATCCTATTCTGAAAGCTTCTCCTGAAAGCAACCTCCTAATTCAGGTGGGAACTGGATACTGGGCTCCAAGATAAGAATTACACTGCTTTCATGATAGCTAACTATATACAGGTATGAAAACAATCCTATCACACAGGCAAATCACAGACCTAAGTTTTCTAAAAATAATAATGATGATCATTTGACCATGCCTGTCATTCTCTTTTTGGCTACTTAGTGCTACCCTTTCTTTTTTCCCCATCCTTTTCCCCCCTCTTTGTCTCACACACATTTTTTTTAATGACTGCTATTTTATTTTTGTTTGTTACAAACATAGATTTAAGCTATAAATGCCTTTTTCATGTTGAGTTTCCTTCCCAATAACAAGAATATGATGAAATCAAGAGAAAGCCAAGATGCAGAATTAAGAAATGGCTTATATGAGCAGGTGTGTATCAATCAAATAATTAACAAGCATTCATTAAGTCCCTACTATGGTACAGGACCTGTACTATTGCACGGGGAAAACAAAATAAAAGTAAATAGCCCCTTCCCTTATAGAACTTACATTTTAGGGATAAGGTGGGGTGGAAAATGAGTGAATGGATAAATGAATAAATGAATGAAAAGCATTTATTAAGTTCTTGTTAGGTATAAATCACTGCCCTAAGCTCTAGTGATACACAAATAGAAAAGTAAGACAGTGCCTGCTCTCAAGTTCACCTTCTAATCGAGGAAACAAAAATATGGAACATTTCAGCTACAAGTCAGATGGAAAGGTGCCATGGTCTTCAGGGTACAGGAGCAAAACAGATGACAATGCCTCTTCTTTGATGTCATTTCCAGAAATAAAATCTTATCAGTGACAGATGCTGAGCCATTTAACATTGCCAAGGACATTGGTGTCAAGAACTTTCTTCAATAGCTATGGCTGCAGTGCTTGCAGGAGCATTTACCATGTTCCATCTCCACAAGGACTGGTTGCTTCCTAGGATGATGGCTGAGGACACTGGGCTGGAAGCTTTGCTATTCCCAAGGCTCTTGGATGAAGGATTTTGGGCTTTCTCCATCAGGTATTGAGAGAGTATGTACACATAAAGGTATATACAATATATATATACTAGTTAATGGGGTGTGTGTGTGAAAAGTCACTAGCAGTTGTGAGTTGGGTGGATCAGGAAATGCTTCATGAAGAAGGTGGTAGGCACATGAGGCAAATCTTGAAGCAAAATAGGGATTCACAGAGGTGGCTAAAAAAGGGAGTAAACTGCAAAGCATGAGCAGTAGATAACACAAAACAGAAATGTGTACCTGTGTGTGTGGCGGGGAGAGGTGCATGTAACAGTAGGATCGACAAGACCACATACTGTGAGACAGTGAGTAAAGTGCAGCAAGGCTGGTAAGGTAGGCTGGGGCTAGGCTCTGAAGGGATTTAAATGCCAAACAGAGGAATTTGTATTTGATCCTGGAGATCATAGTGAGTAACCAGAGTTTGAGGAGGGAATGACACTGAGACCTGTACTTTAGGGAGATCACTTTGACAGCTGTGTGAAGGATGGATTTGAGGGAAGGAGATCAATTGGAAGAAACTATCACAATAGTTCAGACAAGAGGTAGTGAATTAGGGGGAGGCTGCATTTGGGAAGAAAGGTGGGCGCTTTCAAGAGATACTGGGGTGGCAGAAATGATATGATTTGGGGATCCATTGGTTATGTGGGATTGGGGAGAGTAAAGAGGGAAGGATACCAGAAGATTGTGAAACTAGGGTATTATAAGGATGTTGAAGCCTGCAACATAAATAAGGAAGTTTGGAAGTTGCTTGATTTTTGGGGGGATAGATAATGCGCTCTGTTTTGGATATGTCCAATAGTCATTTGAAGTGTTGGAGCTCAGGATAGTGACTAGGGTGGAGATCAGACAGACAGAAGATAGATAGATCAAAGAAAGATATATGTATGTACACACACACACACACACACACACACACACACACACACACACACACCCTTTTCTGCATCCTCATTCCTCTATCTTTTGCATTTGGCATTTTGACACTGTTGTTTGTATTCTCCTTTCTGTGTTTTTGTAGCTCTACTCTATCCTGGCTCTCCTCCAAACATTGTGAGCACTTCTCAGTATCTTTTGTTGGTTTATCATCTATGTTATACTTCCTAACTATGAATGTTCCCTGAGCTTCCCTTCTACGCCTGCTTCTTGTCTCTTTCTATATTCTTTCAGCAACCTTGTCAGTTCACTTAGTTTTGACAAGCATCTCTATGCAGATAAATCCCAGATATATCTATCCCTATATCATCTGCATCTACTCCCCATTATCTCTCTTGAGCTTTAGTCCCCCATCACCATTTGCTTCTTGGACACTTTAAACTCGAGGTCTCAGAGACAATTCAAACTCAATATATCCAAAGACGAACTCATTATTTTTCCCACCAAATTTGCTTTTCTGTCAAAAGTATCACTATTCTTCTAGTCTTCCAGGTCCATAACTTCAGCATTATTCTTGACTCTGTACCCCACATATATCCAATTAGTTGCTAAATCTTGCCAATTCTACTTTCAAAATATTTCATCCTTTCTATGCTTTCTCTCCATTCACACAGCTATAAACATAGTTTAAATCCTCATCACACTTGCCCAAATTAATGCAATAGCCACCTAATTGATCTCCTTACCTCAAATAGATCACCATCACAGTCTATCCCACAAACTTCTGTCAAAGTAATTTTCCTTAGGCGTAGATCTGACCATATCACATCCTTCTCAAAAAAAATCTGGTTTCCTATTGCCTCAAGGATAAAATATGAACTCCTCTGTTTAGCTTCTAAAGCCTTAAGCAGCCTGGTTCCAACCCCTCTTTTCAGCATCACTGAACATTTTTGCTCTGTGATCTAGCTAACGTTGCATTATTGCTCTTTCTCACACTCATTCCATCTCCAATCTCCATGTCTTTCTGCTGCCATTTCCCATGCTTGGATTATACTCCTTCCTTACATCTGGTTAAGTGACCCTCACTTCCTTTAAGATACAGCTTAAGCACCATCTTCTATTGGCTAGTACAGCCCTCCCTCACTTAATTCCTATTCACTTGCATGTCATGCCTCCCTGATATCATGGTGCTTTTTGACAATGAAGGACGAACAACAACAACACTAATCTTCTATATGAATCCTCTGTGATCTCCCCAACTGCTAGTATCCTTTCCCCCAAACTGCTTTGTACTTTGTATACTTTTATATTTATTCACTTTAAATTTATGCTGTATATGTATGTATGTACATGTATACATATGTATCTATGTATGTATTGATTGTTTACACCATTAGAATGTAGGCTTCCTGTGAGTAGAAATCTTTTTCAATATTAAATTTATTTATTTTTATTTTAATTTACAAAACAAAATAATTACTTCAATAACGTAGCAAAATAATTAAAAAGATGATTGCACATGAAACTGAAAATCTATTATGTACACCTATACATGTATTCCTAGCACATAGCTCAATGACTGGCACATTCTAGGTGCTTAATGCTTGCTGATGGATTGATTAATATGAAGGTTTTGGAGTCATCTTCATAGAAATGATAATTAAACTCATGATGTCACCAATTAACAATTGTAGAGGGGGGAAGAGAAGAGAGCTTAGGATAAGATATGGGTCATACTCATCACTAGGGAACTGCATAGTACTTAATAGTGTACTCTAACTTACTAGAATATATGCAGTATTTCGCAGTTCATTCTGAAAGTAAATCAGAAGGAGTTTGGATAAATTATTGTTTCTGGTCACCTACTTAGTACCAAAATACAAGGCCAAATAGGAGAGGGCCAGAGCTGGGCACAAAGAGGTCCATTTATGAGTAGCCGTCTAGGTGTAACTCCTTTCTCATCCATATCGTGGTGATGAAAGGGTTGACTATATTTTGAAGGGTTTATATGGCATATGACCCCAGAGGAAAAAGAAAGATTTAAAAATTACACAGCTGTTTCATGAGACTAGTAATGGAGTTTAAGTCTACCTCCTAGTTAGCATACCATGTTTCCCCATCAGGCATACTATTGCTTTGGAAAAAGAATACTGGGTCTCACCTCCCACTTGCCCTGTTGGGTCCTCTTCTTCAAATGAATATTCCAGTGCTCAGAACTGACATCAGCACAGTGGGGTATGGTCAAGGCAAAGGGTGTGCTGACCACCATGTCTGAAGGCCCACAGGTAACTTCAGGACTCAGGAGTACTTCTGATCCATCTGGCTGGAGACTTTGTTTACATTTGAAGGAAAAGAGGAAACATGAGCCAAAAAGAACATTGTCAGGCATGGCAGAGTCAGATCTCATTCAACAAATGGGGCGGGGGAGAGAGGAGTGTTACTTGAGGGTTGAACATAAACCAAGTTTGCTGCACTGCTCACAGCCCAGAAAGTAGATCACACACATGCAAAGCAATTCTATTCACTCCTAGCAGTTTTGCTGCAGAACAGCAGAATAAGGCTCGTAACAGTCGATGCCTACAGAGTGAATTAAAGCCCACATTTCAAGGCCAGGGTTTGGATAAAGGGGAAACTGACAAATGCCTGTTTATGTTTGCAGTGCAGAGTTAGGGAATGGATGGGGGCCAGGGGAGAAGAACCACCAAAACCCCTCTCCCAGCTGCAATGCAAGAGTCTTACTGATGGAACACCCGAGTCCAAATGTTCAAACATGATGAAAACAGCTGATGCTGACAATGTTGCCACCAGATTCTTTCCTCCCAATGATACTATCGACAATATTTTCATAGCAGCAAATAATGACAATAACTTATTACATAACAAAACAGCCCTTCAGCTATGTGCAGATTGAGTGTTAACTTCCCTCATTTTGAAAATGTATTTTCTGCCAATTCACAAATACATAGGTTATACATATTGACAGCACAGCAGACAGTTAGTTATAAATATGCATTTTCAAATACGTGAATATAGATCTTTCAAATCTCCCTCGTTTGGTGTCTAAATTTAACGTCATCCCACACAAACCTGGTGTTCACATTTTTTATATTGTTCTCTGTATTGTGAATAATTCATAATGGGAATGCAGAGTCATGAGACAGATGAAAGAAAATGACAGTTAACAGAAGGAAAAAAAAATCCACTTCACTGAATGAGTCCCTATTTCTTTTCTCCTTTCCTTTGTTCTATTTCCTTGTCCCTCTGGAGGGAATTAGATTTCTAGAACAATAGTTAGGGGGAGAACCTTGGGGCATTCTTGCCCCTCCCTTTTCCCAATTCCTGGCTAGATGGTCTTGGATAATCTACTTTATCTTTATTTGCTTTACTTGTTTTTTTTTTTTATATGTGTAAAATAGAGGCTTACAGCAGGGTAGAATTAATAAATATTCTGAGGCTCTTAGATGAAAGGAACAGTATGAGAACTGAGCAAATATTATGGTTCCTAAGTTTCACTTCCCAAAATGTAGAACCACAGATTTACAGCTAGATGTGATCTAGTCTGACCTCATTTTACAGATGAAGAAACTGAGGCCCAGAGAGCTTACATAACTTCCTCAAGATGACAGAGGTAGTTACTATCAGAGCCAGGATTTGAACACAGATCCTGTAATTAAATTGAGGATTCTTTCCATTCCACCAGGTATGAACAGCCACCAATGATTGAAAAAACCACCTCCTTGATAACATAAAGAAATACTGTTCCAGTGCATAATGCATCTTTTCTAAAAGCTTTTATACAAACTCATGAAATAGGTTATTCACACCTTAACCTCTGAATTATTTTGTTGACATTGTGTTCTAATAATTCTCCTTTTTTCTCTCTCTTTTTCTCTCAATCCCTTTTTTAATCTTTCTATCCCTCTCTCTGTCTCTCCCTTCTCCTTTTATCTCCCTTCTCCCTCTCTTTCCCCTTATGTTAGCAGTTGCCCTTGTATCTTGTTCTCTGTGATTTGCAGCTGCAAAAACCTTAAGATATTTACCTCAGCAGGTCCATCATCTCTAGCCTATGGCAGCTATCACATCCACAACTAACACATTCCCTTTCACTGCAGCCTCACAAAGCAGGGCCCTGTACAGACACGAAGGCATTCAAGCTTACTTAAAGTTAACTACAGCCCCAAGTTTGACAATTCCTACCCATGCTGGGAGCAAAATACAGGTGGAAACTGAAAACCATCCCGTATTGACTTTCAGGCACCATGATCAGGAGATTAAAGGAAGCCACAGGTGATGATTCTCCAAAGGAAGCAGGTTGGAGCAGAAAGGCAAAAACAAAGGTTTTTTGTTGGGACTAGAGGGGGGCAGGCAAGAGGGGCTTTGGAAAGTGGCCCATTAGCCATTGGGAAGTCTCCATGAACGGCTTAGAACAATGTGCTTGAGGTTTGAAAAACGTAAAATTTCAATGTGAGCTATAACCAGCAGGCAGCAGCAGCCGTGGACCACTGCCAGGGGCCATTAGAGAGGGTTAAGCGGTTTCTGTGTAATTGGTGCCTGCATTCATCACGTACAGGAATAGCAGGGATGCTTGTGAGTGACCGATGACAAGCTCTCCTAAAAGAACTATTTAATTGCTTTCAGAGAATCATCCCCCTTGTTGAACATATTGTTCAAACATATGGGAATTTGGGGAATTATTTAATGCCAAATGAACTGAAATCAGCTAATTAGATGAACTCTCACACTCATTGTGAATAGCAAGACTCCTGTCTGTAATAACTTAAACAGCATTAAGAGTCAGAGGCAGTACATATTGGGTATTAAGCAAAGCATGGGATGGGAGCTTTGCATAAAGTAGATACTGGCTATTTCCATACGTGCAAAGTAAATCAAGATTTATATCTAATCCCCCTACAGTGAAAATAATGTGAGTGGGTATAGAGTCTCCAGTGAAGGAACAAAATATAATCTCTCCATTTTTCCATGATTAATGATAATTTGCCCTTTCCTGCCTCCTTCTATCTGTGGCAATCAGAGGGCTTCACAAATATTAATTAACACTCATCACACACCTGTGGAGGCAGGTGTTTCAAGCATAAGGTCACAGAGAAGTCAATCAAACTGATGGGAACAAAAACCAAAATGCCTGACTCATACTCTCCTGCTGTAGTAGATTGTACTGTATTTTACTTCTCTTTTAATGCTTCCTTCGTGGGGTTCTGCCTTGATGCATTCCTGGGGTATTTGAGTGACCCTGAGCTCCTGAAAGACCTGTACACAAACTCTGACTAAGGTGGGGATACTATGAAGGTAGGCCTGGTGGCAGACTATGTGTCTGTCGTCCAAGGACAAAGAAGCTCATCACTGAGTGCTTTTGTCGGGCCAAGCAGCTCATGACTTCCTACCAAGGCACTGAGGAGTAGCAATCTGCATAAGTGCAGAGAGCAACATAGCAATGAAATAAAATTGTATTAAAAATATTTGGCAAAATTTAACATTCTCAAGGGCTTCAGTCTAATGGATGGCCTGCCACCTAGACTTTCTCAAGAAAACAAAACAAAACAAAATAGTGACAAGACCAAACCTTCTGATCACAGTTCAAATGCTAAGCCATGAATGCAGAAGTCATGGGCGTGCTTTTTTGACAGAGAGTTTGAAAATTTGAGATAAAAATCCCTAATGAAATTTATAAAGGGATGTTAAAAAAAACTTTTAAAGACTATTTGATACATGAAAACCATAGTTAAGTTGATATGCTTTTTCTCAACAATGAGGGAAAAATACGTTGTATAAGCTTTCTGAGATTGTTATGAACTGAATTACTAATATCTGTAAACTAACACCTTTGTTATACAGTGTTCTGAAAGTCTTAGACTTTTGGGCCCTCCTGAACTATACTAGCAGCCCAACATTAAATACTTAGCACTAGAAGGGATCTTAAAGAACTCATAGTCTAACTCCCTAGTTTTGCCAAAGAGGAACTGAGCCCCAGAGAAGTTAAATACCTTCCCAAGGACACCCCCTCTGTACCCCTACCCTCAGCAAAACCAGGATTTCAACCCAGGTCTTTTGATGCCGGATCCAAGACATTTATCGCTATACCAGGATGACACTGTAATCCAGTATGTAGGATACAATATTTAGGGGAAGGAGAGTTATTCTAGACACAGTGGAAGTCCTGGCTGTGTAAACCTCAGGTTCTAAATGCTATAATTAGTATAAGGCCAGTCTTGGTGGAGCTATTTACTTCTTAAAGGCCAGTCTGGAAAGAATAGGTTTGTAAATTGAAACACTAGCCCTCACTGAGCTGCTGAATGCCTTAGAGTAAATTGCTTCACGTTACTATACTTGGCTTTCTCCATCTCAAAAAAGTAAGTGGGAGAATAACATGCTTGTGAAGACATATGGTAACTACAGTGGTGCTGCCGAAATGCTCACATTTGTTACGCTTTTAGGGATACCAGAATTCTGAGGAAGGGACAGCACTAGGAAAAGTTATGTAGTAAGCAATAGATGTCCAATTCAATTTAATTACAAACATTAAGTACCTACTGTGTAAAGGGTTTTGTGCTAGTGTGTTGTTTAATTGTCTCTTCATTTCTTCTTCTGGATCATTCCCCTCTTGTCTAAATAGGACCCTGCAGGTACTCAGTAACCCTGATGTCATAGTTCTCTTTGAGAAAGAAGGACAAACAACAACCTTATGGAACCCACCTAGTGCCCAGAGTGCAGGGTTTTGCCCAAGTTTCACCTCATTAGTAGTTTCCTAAAAACAAGAACTCCCCCATCTCAAATTCCTGATCCCCACTGCCCTTTTCACTGTCAAAGGCAAATAGTAAATAAGAAAAGTTGATAGAATTCATGCTTTAGAGTGGCTCCGACTGAAATTCTCATCATTGCTTACTTTCCCAGCCCTGGTACAAACAATATATGAAAATCTCTACCCTACATAATGACCACACAAAATGGAGGAGATCCAGGTGCTAACACCACATGGAGGAAATCTAGGTCTCATATCTTCACTGCTCTAGCCAGCCTCAATTGTTGTCTCTTCTGAATCCATTCCAAGAAACTATTACTACACATTGTCTCCCCACCACCTACAATTCAGTTGTAGAGAAGATCCACCATTCCCTTTTTCATTATCTATATCCCTTAAATAACTATGAGGGAATGCCAGTACAATCAAATGCTACTCAGTTCTCTCTTATTTCCTAGTGCTGAGGAGAGAATCTCAAAGGTAACCTTACACTGTTGGTATGAGATGTTGCCTGGATTTTCTTCTGCCTCAAAGCTCTACCAGAATGTGAAACTCCTCCCTTTTTTTCAAAAT